AAGGGGGGAGGGTGGAAGGGAGGGGGAGGAGGGGAGGAAGGGGGGAGGGTGGGAGGGGAGGAAGGGGGGAGGGTGGAAGGGAGGGGAGGAAGGGGGGAGGGTGGAAGGGAGGGGAGGAGGGGAGGAAGGGTAGGGGAGGAGTGAAAGTGGAGGGAGAGGGACAGGGGAGGGAGGGGGAGGAGGAAAGGGGAGGAGGGAGAGAGGGGGAAGGGGAGGAGGGGACAGAAGAGGCAGCTGGCGGGCGGAGAACGGAGAGGAGCAGGGCGCAGGGCGGGGAAGGGAGGACGGAGAGGGGACCAGGAAGAGGGGAGGCAGAGGAGGGCGGCCCTCCGTTTTGAGGGGGCCTCCCCTGGACCCATCCAGGCCACGTGGCTCGGGGCAGGTAAGTGCCAAGGTGGGGCCTCCTCCCATCTGCACCCCTGCCGGCAAACACCAGGCCTGGGAATGCTGGGAGGGCGTGGCCAAGCAGCCAGGAGAGCGGGGGTGTTTGTGGCCAGCAGCCATGGAGGGCTGCAGCTGTGAGGGGCCAGCAAACGCAGCCTCACAGATGGCCCTGGGTTCCCCCATCCCCAATGCTCAGATTCAGGTTTGTACCCCCCGCCCCAGCTCTCCCACTGGGCCCCTGCAGAGAAAGAATCCTGGTGGCTCCAACTCCATGTTTCCAGGACTGAGCTGGCCACCCCTGCTCCCCGCTCCCAGAGACCTCAGCCCCCAGGACAGCGGATCCAGTCTTGGGCGGGTGGCCTCCCCGTTCCACCTGCTCTAGCCCTGCGGTTGGGGGGGCGGGGGGCAGCTCAGCGGGGCAGCCCCTTCGGCCTCCCCTGCCCTTTCTCCTGCCCGATGGCCCAGGGTCCTCCCTGACCCTCCCCGCCCGCCCCCCCCCCCCCAGGCCCTGCGCCCTCACCTGCAGGAAGCCCGGGAGCTCCTTCTCCATGAGCACCTTCAGCTCCCCCTTGGTCAGGCTCTGCTTGTTGCCCTCCCCACCCGCATAGCGGGCGAAGACGTTAATAATCATGCCCATGGCTGTCTCCAGTTCCGTCATGGTGCTAGACGCGGACCCACCTTCCTCCTGGGAGCTGGTGTGGCTGAGGGAACGTCCCCGGGAGGCTTCTGGGCGCTTTATAAGGCCCAGCCTCGTATTGACACGGAGGGTGGGACGGACAGGGTTGGGCCTCCAAGCAAGCCCTGCCCCTCCCGTTGTGTGTGGCTCAGCTCCCGAGAAATGCACTGGCGGAACTTCCTGTCTGAAGCCTTCCCCCAGCCCACTCCCCGGTGCACCCCCATTTCCCTGTGCTTCCATGTGTCCCGGGGTCATTCATCCCTGACTTACTGACACAAGGGCCAGGGGGCAGGTGGGGCGTGTGGGGTACTTCGTGGAGTACTTCGTGGAGCGAGTGGGTGGACCGGTCCTGTCCGGCCACATCTGGTGGGCCAGCATGAGGAAGGCCGTTTGAGGGCATGTCGGGCTGAGCGCGGTTTTGCTCCTGTAGCGCTTTGCAGAACAAGGCCTTGTGGAGGACGGACTTGCACCTCCGCCCCGTTCCTCCCCAAACCTGCGGCATCAGGGAGGCAGAGACTGCCAGCCACGGGACCGGGTGAAGGGCCACCCCCCTCCCCGCCTGCCAGGCCCCCCAGAACTCCCTGCCCACTCTTACTCTCTCCCTGCGCCTTGCTGGGCGGCCCCAGGGGTGCCCTGTGATTTCCAGACCCCAAACGCGAATCCTGTCTCTGTTTCCTGATGGCGGGTGTTGAGGACTCAGTCTGCAAGAACCACAGGGGCAGGTAGCAGGCTGTGACTGAGCCAGAACTCCCTGAGCACAGAGCCGCCCCTCCCTCGGTCCCCAGATATGGCATGGGGGCAGGGGGCGGCGGCTGTTGTTGGGGATGCCTGCAGGGCCTGGCTGCCCAGGGAACCCCTGCACAGAGCTCCGGGGTCAGGGTCGGGGGGAGATGAAGCCAGCTACACGCAGCGGGCTCAGCCCCAGCCTGGCACTGTCTGGGAGCAGCTGCCTACGACAGTCCTTTCTCCTTTGGACACAGTGGCTCTCCCAGGTCTCCTGGAAGGGATCGTTTGGGAACAGGGAAAGGTCAGCCCACTCTGCTGCACGGGGCAAGTCCCTCTTAGGATGAGACTGCAGGTCCCCAGCAGGTGGGCGGAGCCTCCCCGAGGGCATCCCGCACCAGGGACCTCTCCAGCACCAGGAAAGGGTGTCAGAGGCCCATTGTGACACTTGGTGAAAAGGAAGGAAGAGTGTTAAGGGTTGTCACAACAGGGCTCATGACTGTCACAACAGGGGGGGACACTGGCTTAGCTCCCAACACAGCAGAGCCGGCCTGGATGGCCCAGGAGCAGTTAGTGGGGCTCAGAGGGTGGGAGGTTACTAGGAGGAGGTCGACAGGGTTGGGGGATTCCGGGGGCTGGCAGGCCCAGGGCTCACCCGTCAGAGTGGGGGGTGAGGAACTTGGGCAGGCATCAAGGGTAGGGAGGCGGCTTCCTGACTCCTGCTACAGCAGGCGGAGCACAGACGCGCTGAGGGACGAAGGACGAGGCAGGATCAGAGCCCGCGCAGAGCAGCCTGCTGAAGGGGAGAGTCCGTCAGACCTCCTGAGTGAAGACCTGGCTGGGGGCCGGGAGGGGCTGGCCTGTGTTCTCTAGGAGAGGGCCTCCTTGGAGCCGTGGGGGCGGGGGGGGGGGCAGGACAGCACCTTCAGGGCTCTGATCCCCGCTGGTCCTCTCAAACTTGAGTCACCCTCCTTGCTAAAAGAGGATGCTCCCCCCACCCCCCATAAAATTTAGTCAAGCGTGTGGCTTTTGCCTAACATCTTTTTGAACTTGTTGCAAAAGTCAAAGCAAGGCCACTCAAAGACCTCTCCTGGTGGAGATCTTTGTAGGGATTAAAAAAAAAGTGGGGGCACCTGGGTGGTTCAGTCGGTTCGGCTCAGGTCAGGATCCTGGGGTCTTGGGACCATCGGCCTCTCTGCTCAGCGGGGAGTCTGCTTCTCTCTCTCAAATAAATAAATAAAATCTAGGGGCGCCTGGGTGGCTCAGTAGGTTAAGCATCTGCCTTCGGCTCAGGTCATGATTCCAGGGTCCTGGGATCGAGCCCCATGTCGGGCTCCCTGCTCTGCGGGAAGCCTGCTTCTCCCTCTGCCATTCCCCCTGCTTGTGCGCTCTCTTGTTATCCCTCTCTCATATAAATAAAATCTTTCAAAATCAATAAAATCTTTAAAAAAAAGTGGTTAGATCACTGGTCGAGTGGACACAGGTAGAAGAGAATGCCTGGTTATAAAGGTCACTACGACCTCGAGGTAGGAAACATGGGGGTAGGCAACTAATTTCCCAGACCAGTTCTTAACTCTTAAAACATTTAACAGAAACCCGCTGTTACAAAGAAAAACTACCTACAGCCACTGACAAGTCCTTGAAACAGGCAGAGTGACATTCCTCTGGGAGCTCAGCTGCTTCGATGTTACTGCTCTGCTAGGGCAAAAGGCAATCGTAGCGGAGCCCCGGGGTCCTGGGAGTCTACTGTAACGTATGAAAATTCCTTTGGAAACTTCCTTTAACTCTGCCCCCCAAGCTACATGTCGGCGGTCATCCCCCAAGTGGATGACCCACAATATACATCTGAAGGGTCTCATGACTCATGTTTTATTAGACAGTAATAAATGACCTTTTCCCAACAATAGCTAGCCCCCTCAAGGTTCTGGAAACCTCGCTTCCAAAATTCCTTAGAGACTTATGCTCTCCCTAACCCCTTCCCAACTTGAAAGTGAGTAACGGGCCATTCCTCACGACCCTGGTGCGGCTCTTTCTGCCGGTGGGTCCTCTCCTCCTGCTTTAATAAAACCGTTTTGCACCGAACATGTGTCAAGAATTCTTTATTGGCTGTCAGCTTCAAACCCTAACATTTCCTACATCAAAATCGCAGGCCCAAATTGGTATCACTTAGACCGAGTCCCCAAAGTGGGCCTTCATCCCTAACCTAGCTACAGTTCCAACCCCCCCCCCCCCCGAAATGCAGTCCTAACCCGTCAGTCAGGAATGATCCAATCGGCCCAGGGAAGGAACAGGCCCCAGCCCGCCCCGCGGAGGAAGCAGGGCTAACCTGCGTAAGACCCCTGCCCCTCCTCCTGCCAAGGTCTAGTGTGCTCGCCTCGAAGATCCTTTTCTTGTGCTAACAACATCTTGCCACACTCTTTCCTAGAAAAACCTTCCATTTTGTACAACTCCTGGGAGCTCCCCTCTGCTTGCTACCTGGGGGGCTGTCCGGTTCCCGAATCGCTTAACAAAGCTAATTAGGGCTTCAAATGTACTGGGTTGGGTTTTGATTTTTAACACTGCATTTATCTGGAAAGCTAGTTTCTTCCCAAAAGGAGATTGTGAGTTGCGTCATGCAGAAAGCCCTTCCTGTCCCTGACCAGGTCGGGGTGATTTTTTTCTTCCCACCCTCCAGGCCCGGGTGCCCCAAGATCACTGGTGCCAGGGCCTCCTTTACAGCATGGGGATTTGGGGGCGGGGGCCGGGTAACAGGAATATCAGCAAGGAAGCAGACCCTCCGCGGGGCCGGCCCCCAGCTTGCTGGGAAGGGACGAGAATGGCTCTTCTGAGCAGGCTGAGCTGGGACAGAAAAGTGCTCCTGCGTCAGAACACATGCCCCCCCCATTCCCACTTTGCACTCCCCCATAATCTGCTCCCCCCTAATCGGCTGACAGTGCGGGTGGGGTACCGGACCGCCGGCCGCCACCCACAGCCCACACCCACAGCCTGGGCCCTCCCACGCCCAGCACCAGAGGCACGAAGAAGAAATGGAATTACGACCTTCCTACACGCCACGCAGGGCAAAGAGGAACCACTGAAAGACCAAGGGGCCCAGGGAACCATCACCCCTGGGGGCCCTGCCCAGGAGACAAAAAGGCCGCCTGGCTGAGCCCAGGATGTGGCCCCACTTCGGAGGGGGATGGGCGGTCAGGAAATGTCTCCGTGGGTCATGGGTCCGGGAGCTTTCCGGAAAGGCCTGTGTGGGGTGGGGCAGGCAAGGCGTGGCCTGCGGGTGGGAACAGTTCCTAGACTCTGGAGTCTGGGTCGCTCTGAGAAGGACGTCTGTGCTCAGCAAACACGACCGAAGGCCCCGGGTCAGCGCAGACCCGCCAGGCACAGGCCCCAAACCATGTTGGTGCAGTGAGTTCTTCCGAGTGCCCCGGGGCGCCTGCCCCCCCCCCCCCCCCCCCCCCCCCCGCTGCGGGAGGCAGACCCTGACCTCTGGAGTGCCTGGCCAGACTGGGGCCCCTGGCGGGAGGCGGGAGAGCACACAGGCAAGGAGGCCCCGGGGCAGGGAGCAGGGAGCAGGGAGGAGGAAGGGAAGGGGAGCGCTGGCCTCACTGGGGGCCTGTCTATAGCCCTTAGGGCGCAGCAGAGCTCCTGAGGGACTTTAAAACGCTGGCTGTCAGGGCCCCACACCCCCAGAGCTGCCCTTTCATCAGGCTGTGCTGGCCCAAAGCTTCCCAGCTGACGAGGGTTCTCAGCTGCAAAGAGACGTGGTCGGGTTTACCATTTAGACTAACTCAGCAGCTGGTAGGAGATTCAGATGAGGAGGGTGAGGCTGGAGGCAGGGAGGCCAGGGAGGAGGCTGCAGAGTAAGGAGCCCTCCAGGTACACCAGCTCCGGGGTCCTGCAGCCCAAAGCACATCTGGGGACTGGCAGAGGCCTCAACAGGGTGCAGAAATGAGAAGGAAGTGGGGGGGGGCTCACCATCTGATCCAAGCTTTGCAGAAGGGGAAACTGAGGCTCAGGGTGAAGACATGGGTGAGCAAGCCCAGGCTCCTCTGCACTCTCACTGTACGAACAGCTCTGGGATCAAACCAATTTTATCCTCGGGAACGTATCAGACAAATATTTGCTGAGGGAGGAGGTTGAGGGAGCTGAGGAAATGAGCGTCTCAGGAACAAGCAGTGTCAGGGGTCCTGACACGGTGGGGGGCAGCCGTGGGGGCGGGGCCCGGTCTCAAGCCTCGTTTCGTGGCTCCTGGGGGAGGCGGCGGTCAGCCCTGGGCCCTGGGGCAGCCGCCTGCAAACCCCTTCCTCCAGTCCAGGAAGCCAAACTCCATCTGCCACCCCTGCTTGCCTTCTTCTGAAGCCTGGAAGTGACTCCTGGGGCAGCAGCGGCTGGCTGCCACCATGCGGATGAGGCCGTAATGGATTCTTGGTGCTTGTAACCCAGAGCACTCCCAGCTGGTTGTGTTCGTTTCCCCGGGCCACTGTAACCCACGGCCACAAGCAACAGAAACGGCTGCTGTCGCAGATCTGCGAGTCCAAAATCAAGGTGTGAGCAGGGCTGCCCCTTCTTGGGGCCTCAGAGGGGGACTGTTCCTGCTGCCCACCCACCTCCTGCAGACGGCCCGAAATCCTTGGTGTTTCCGGGCACGCAGCTGCTTGACTCCAGCTCCTGCCTGTGTGAAGCGCCGCCAGATGGCCTTGATGGAGAAAAAAAGCCCACCCTCCTTGCCGTCTCCGAGGTCCTGGAGCCCTGCAGCCTCCAACCAGGGCGTGGGGGCCTCCCCTCTGGCCTCCTCCAGAGCCACACCTTAGGAAACTTGACTGTTTCCTCCGGCAAGTCAAGACTTGGAGGTGATGGGTAAGGGAAAACCTGTGACAGTCTGCTCAGAATCAAAGTCCAGGCAGGCTGGAGCAGAGGGGACTCGGGACACGTCTCCATGTGTTCAAACCCAGACCTGGCTCTTTTTTTTTTTTAAGATTTTATTTGACAGAGACACAGGGAGAGAGGGAACACAAGCAGGGGGGAGCGGGAGAGGGAGAAGCAGGCTTCCCGCCGAGCAGAGAGCCCAACGCGGGGCTCGATCCCAGGACCCTGGGACCATGACCTGAGCTGAAGGCAGACGCCCAACGACTGGGCCACCCAGGCGCCCCGACCTGGCTGACTCTTAATGTGTTAATGTCCTTCAAATAGCTCTCCCGGGATCCTCCTGAAGCTCGCATACATTCTGCCCCATCGTCTGTTGTGAGCAGAAGCACCGGGGGTCCTGGGAAGTGTGCGAGGGGGCGGCAGGAACCTGGCTCCTGCCTGTGGGTGTAGGGCCGCCTGGGGCAGAGGACTTGCCTCGGGCGGGGCACCTGGGGCACCCTCCCAGGCCGCTGAGCCACTTAGTGACTCTGGTGAGTCCCTTCTCCTCTTAGAACTACTTTCCTCACCTGTAAAATGAGGGGTTCAGATTAGACCTGGAGCTCCTGAATCCCACGTTCTCAGCCAAGGTGCCCATCATCCTTGGGGTGCCGTGTGTACTAGAACCACCAGGATTTAAAGAGTATTTCTTTTTTCTTTTTTTTTTAAAGATTTTATTTATTTGACAGAGACAAAGCGAGAGAAGGATCACAAGCAGGGAGAGGGAGAAGCAGGCCTCCTCCTGAGCAGGGAGCCCGATCCCAGGACCCAGGGATCATGACCTGAGCCAAAGGCAGAAGCTTAACAACTGAGCCACCCAGGCGCCCCTTAAGAAGTATTTCCATTGAGATGGAGAAACTCGCAGAAATTTTCAAGCTAGAGCAGGAGCCTGTGAACACCTATGGTTTCCATCTCTCAGGCTCATTTGGCTGGGTCCTGGCAGCCCCGCCAGCCTGCCGTGGGGTTGGGCTTCCTGACCCGTGGGAGTCACCCCCCGACCCAGCTGGGTTCTGGGTGAGCACAGGGGAGTGCTGGTTTGAGAACACAGAGGAAAAGGAGCTGAGAGGTGGAGGAGAGGCCGTGAACTCCCTGAAGTCCGCAAGCCCCGCATTTCCAGGCCGCCTGTCCCCCACCCTGCACTTCCTAGCCCCGCAGAGCTGAGTGTCAAGTTCTGGGCCATGTCCTCTGGCATGGGGTGGGGGAGCCGAGGCCCAGGTCAGACTGGGCTGGTTTGAGGGAAGGACCACAGGCAAGAATGGGGAGCAAAGAAATTGGTTAAGTATGTGGGTAAATATAAATAAAAATGGATTATTAAACAGAACAATACTTATTTCTAACGTGTCAGGGTTTTTTTTTTTTTTTTTAGATTTTATTTATTTATTTGACAGAGAGAGAGAGACAGCAAGAGAGGGAACACAAGCAGGGGGAGAGGGAGAGGGAGAAGCAGGCTTCCCACAGAGCAGGGAGCCCGATGTGGGACTCGATCCCAGGACTCCGGGATCATGACCTGAGCCGAAGGCAGTCGCTCAACCAACTGAGCCACCCAGGTGCCCAAGATATTATTTATTTGACCGAGAGACACAGCGAGAGAGGGAACACAAGCAGGGGGAGTGGGAGAGGGAGAAGCAGGCTTCCTGCGGAGCGGGGAGCCCGATGCGGGGCTCGATGGGGGGCTCGATCCCAGGACCCTGGGACCATGACCTGAGCTGAAGGCGGACGCTTAACGACTGAGCCACCCAGGTGGCCCAAGTATATGAGTTTTGAACCAGTAACGCAAGGGGCGGGGCAGGGGGAGAGTAAATTTAAAAACTCTTACTCCATAATAAGGCAAGAAAGGAAATGGGAAAGGTGGAAGAGGTCAAAAGAAGATCGTAAAAATAAGTCTCAATACACTAGCAATTACAACAAACAAATGAGGGTGCGATTCTCAAGTCAAAAGACGAAGACTGTTGACCTGGATAAAAAAAAATCCACACCAGGGGCGCCTGGGTGGCTCAGTTGGTTAAGCGTCTGCCTTCGGCTCAGGTCATGATCCCGGGGTCCTGGGATGGAGCCCCACATCGGGCTCCTGGCTCAGCGGGAAGCCTGCTTCTCCCTCTGCCTCTGCCTCTCTCCCTGCTCATGCTATCTCTGTGTCTCAAATGAATAAATAAAATCTTAAAAAAAAATCCAAACCAAACAAAATCAAAGTGCATGTGGTTTACAAAGAACATACTTAAAAAAATGTAAGGACACAGAAAGACTGAAAATAAAACGGTCAATAATCCCAAGGCGAACAGTAGCCCAAGGCAAGCTGGGTCGACAGCAGCAAACAGAAACGGTTACTGACAGAGCCTGGCTCTACAGTGATAAAAGCGTCAACAGGGAGAGCAGACGTTGCTAAACCGTAGGCACTTCGTCACAGAGCATCAAAGCGCCCAAAGCACTGACAGACCCAGGAAACCCTGACAGTCCGCCAGCAGAGGGCGCTCTACAGGGCTCGCCCCCGCTGACTTGTCTAAGAAGACTGCTCCGCGGGGCAGGGATGTTTTAAGGGAGCACATTAAAGGAACTCCTCACCCGTCCCTCTCGGAGTCGCGGCGGTGGGTACGTGCTGCCAACCGTGCATCTCAGCCTGTGGGGCTACGGAGTGTGGGTGAGCATGTGGGACTCGCAGGATACCGAGTAAGTGACCAGACCGGACACCCCGACCCCAGTTCAGGACACCTTTGACTGCCCACGAATTGCATCGTGGGTGTCGCCGGATGACCATGGGGAAGAAGACCAAGGATGGATTTCATCTGTTCAGTACCTTTTCCCGGCTGGGGAGAGTTCTCAGGGTCTGTCTGGAACCCAGCGACCCTCTGCTGTCTAAGCAGACTCAGTCTCAATACAGGACCCTCGTGGAAGTCCCCGGGAGGCCGGAGCTCCCCTTAAGTTCCCAGAGCCTAGGGAAAGGTCTGATGCACCTGCCTTCACAGCTCTGCCTCGAGCGCTGAAACTAAGGGCTGAGTGGTTACTTGACGTGAACTGAAGACAACTGGAATGTCAAGCCCCAAGGAAGCTTGAAGACAGGAGTGCAAAACCATCATCATCTGGTGGCCCAGGCACAGTCACTTGGCCAGAGTCATGGAGCCAGTTCCTTCTCCCAGGCGAGTTCCTGGGGGCATTGCAGCTACGAGTCCTCAACCGGAACAATGAGGACGATAAAATGACCTCTCAAATTTGGGAAAATTAGATAATGATGTGAAGGGCCAAACCCCAAAGAGATTCTTCTTACACAGACTTTTGTTTTCTCCTTCCACACGTCCAGCGCGCTGCCCCTGGACGGGAGCTGTAGGAACCTGGCCGGGGGCTCACAGCAAAAACGGGACCCAGGCACACTGTTTGCACTTTTGGTCCCTTGAGTGATTTTAGGATTGGACCTGTTCCATCCCATTCGCATCCTAGAGACTGACTATTCCTCATGAGTTCGATGCAAGCAAAGGTAATGATACCAACCACTACTGGTGAGAAAAGGAAGTGGATTTTAAAATGGAAATAAAAGCACATTTGCCTTAATAGAGCCATCACACTCAAAGACGGGGACTCCCCAAGAACCCCCCCTTCCCACCCCTGCCCCTCTCCATCTGACACTGCTGCGGTCACCCACAGTCTGGCCTGAGGGGGGAGCCAGAACAGGGGCCCCGGGGGCTGGGCTCCTGGGAGGCGTCGTGCAGTCCTCCGCCCTGGCCACCCCGGCCCAGCCCGACTGCACTCACAGCGCTCCCGGCATCATTTGTTGGCGAAGCCACGGCACAACCTACAGGCGCCCTTCTAACGGGATTACAGACTCGGAGGCTGGTGGGACAGGGCATGGGCTGCCACAATTCCCACAGCGACAAACATCACGAGCAGCCAGAGGACGCGGAGGCAGGGAGGTGGGCCAGGTTCCCAGTTCCCTTCCGTACAATCCCAGTGGCGGGGTCTCTAACCTCACTCACAGCCCCGCCTCGTCCATCCTGCACAGACACACGCAGGTTTCCTGAACCACACAGTGTTGTCAGTCTGCTCAGACCTTTCCATGGCTCCTCATCACTCCGCTTCTCGAATGTTTCCAGCGAACCCCCCTTAACCTACTCGAAACGTGGTACCTTGACCGGCAGCACAGGCATCACAGGGGAGCTTGTTAGAAATCAGTGTCAGGTCCGTAACTATAGGATCAGACCCTGCATTTTGATAAGATCCCAGTTCAGATGCACTTTAAGTTTGAACAGCGCTGCTTTAGGGGCTCGGTACAGAGCCAGCAGCAGCCCAGACTGTGACTTTTTTTAGCAAGTGGTAGGTCATTTTAAAAAATTAAAAAAATATCTTTCTTGTCACACATTCAGAAACGCTGACGACTCAGAATATTACAATAGATGGCCTGGTATAAAGTACTCGACAGCAAATCCAGGTGCAGCCCGGAGCACAAATACCCCAGGTGCAGAAGCAAGTACACACAGGATCAAGTTTAAACTCTTCCAGGTCATTTGCGGACCTCTACAACCATGCCTCCTACCTCCCTGTTCCCTGCAAACACCCACAAACCCTATCATGTCACATTTTGACCTACTGACAGACTCCCAGGGTTAGTTCCAGGATGCCCATTCCCTGCGCCTGGGATGCTGTTCAGGTGGCTGAGCTCACGCTTCTGGGCCCAGACCAAGAGTCACTCGGTCTAATCTCATACTCCCCAATGCTCAGTGGACTCCCTCTCTAGTGCTCCCACCACAATAAAAACACAGGATACCTACATCTCCCTGACTGCCTGCAGCACGCCTGGAACCACAAACCACATCACTACTAGGGCCACCTTTCACTTTCAAAACTGCCCCCATTTGACAAATGACATGGCTAGCCTCAACAGGTGCTCAGACCATGAGCCTTGCGACCAAGGCTGGATCCTTACACATCCGCATAGCCCCTTAGCAACACCTTCAGAACGCAGTCCACATACCAGCCTGTGCCTGCAGGGGCCACTCTGGCCCAAGCACCCCCGGCTGCTTGGGCGCTGCCTCCGCACCCTCATCCTCACTCCGGCCCCAACTTCAGTTCTTCACCGAGTGAGTCTCCTCATACCTGGTCAGACTCTGCCACTCCTCTGCTTAAACCTTCAAACCGCTTCCGTGTCTCTTGCAGAGTGACTGCTCCTTCTGACCTCACCATCTACCATTTTCTCCCAAACCACTTGGGTCTCTTGCTGCTCCTCAGCCCTTTGCCCTGCCTGTTCCACCTTGTTCCACCTACCTACGATATAGAACACCCTTTCCCTACACATCCTTGTGTGTATTCCACACGTCTTTGCTCAAATGTCACTTATCAGGTATGTCACCTGACCACCCTATATAAAACAGCAACCCTTCCCTACCCAATACCCCGTTTTCTTTTTTCTACAGAGCTTACCACTACCTGATAGAATTTTTTTCCTGCCTTAGCACAATGAGGCACTCTTCTAAGCTTACAGATGTCAGATCCAAGTGTATAAGCACCTTGTTCACTGATGCACCCCCAGCACCCAACTTACCTAGCAAACCAAAGACCATCACTGGGGGCGCTGTACTGTGATTATACGTTTACAGAGCGGTTTTTTCTTTTTTTTCTTTTTTAAGATTTTATTTATTTATTTGAGAGAGAGAATGAGAGCCAGAGAGCACGAGAGGGAAGAGGGTCAGAGGGAGAAGCAGACTCCCTGCTGAGCAGGGAGCCCGATGTGGGACTCGATCCCGGGACTCCAGGATCATGACCTGAGCCGAAGGCAGTCGCTTAACCAACTGAGCCACCCAGGCGCCCGTGGTTTTTTTCTTTTAAAGATTTTATTTATTTATTTGACAGAGAAAGACACAGCAAGAGAGGGAACACAAGCAGGGGGAGTGGGAGAGGGAGAAGCAGGCTTCCCGCCGAGCACGGAGCCCGATGCGGGGCTGGATCCCAGGACCCCAGGATCATGACCTGAGCTGAAGGCACACGCTTCACGACTGAGCCCCCGAGGCGCCCCGTTTACAGAGCCGTCTTAACTTACTAGATCATCTCTCCTGGAAATTCCTAGCGTCCAGCAGACTCTGGAGGGTCCCACGGTCACAGTGAATGTTAAGTGACTGAATGAACTGCCCTGAAGGCAGAGGCCAGACGACATGCTTTCCTGAGGCTCTTTCCTGCTCTGCCTTCTCCTCTCTCCTGTTACAGTCCCTACAGATCGAACCTTCCTTTGGCCTACAGGCTTTGGAGCACATTCCCGAATGAGAAGCACTGGACATTCATTTGACAATAACGACAATCAAAGAGAAACTTTCATTCTGAAAAGAATTTATCTATCTCACCTTTTCCTGGCCAAATCAATGGCTTTGCTTATTTGCACAAAGGTTCTAAAAACTGTCTTTCAGCATTTGTTTTTCCAGGCAAGCGAGCTTTATCAAAGGGAGCTAGAGCTAGAGCTCTGCTCTCAACCTCTGTGAGGTCTGCTCTGAGGACCTAGGGTGGATATCATCTCAGCCTGGAAGATGCTTCCTGCTATCATTTTGGGGCCTGACTCGGTCAGATCCACACTCTCCTCCCTAAACCCTCCAGGCCATGCAGTGTCACGTGCAGTTGTGGCAAAGAAGCTCCTGAAATGCATGATTACATCAAAAAGTTTACCCCAAAGTCAGCCAATACTCAGAGTACCTAGAACTCATCCCCTATTCTAGGTTACTCACCAGACAGGTTACATGATGTGCACCAGTTAACATGCCACAGAAAAATTACATTTCTGAAAAAAGACCAAAAAAAAAAAAAAAACAAAACAAAAAACAAGCAAACAAAGAAAATAAAAAGAACACAGCTCTCCTCCTCTGATCTGAGACTGCAAAATTCCAAAATGCAGCCGCCACCCCTCTCCATGCCCAACAGCCCCCCAGGGGCTTCTCAATCTGATCCAAAGCAGCGGCATCCACATCCTTGACTAGTCTGGGTTCTTGCTTCAGCAGCTGCAGCCAGGCAGTGTCTTCTGTCTTGCAGAACTCTGACCGCAAGCCTCTTTCATGCGTCCCCAAATTCCAGGAAGCATAAAAAACAAAAAACAAAAAACAAAAAAACAGCAGAGCACAAGAGTATACTTCGGAACTTTAAAAACACGATAAAGTCACAGTAACGAATATGACAACACAGCAGCTTACAATCTAGGCCCTATTCCTTTAGGTAACACTATTTGTCTAAAAGCTGTCTTCTCGCAACTCAATGCACGTAACAATCATAGTCATATCCGCATACATAATACTGAAATCCTCTCCCCAGAATGATACTGGAGATTTATTTAACATGGTGAAAATCGAGGGAACATATGGGAGAGGAAAGGAAAGACTCTTGGGTTCAGCCTCTCCGGCAAGTCCTCTACCAGCTGAACAGAACCCATCCGCAGATAAGCTGGAGTACAAGTGGGGAAATCAATCATCACAGTCTAAATTCTAAGACTCTCCCATGCTGGAGTCAAACCAACCCAACCACCCGTACAAAACGCTACCGCTTGCCGTCAGGACATGGGCAACGCTCCAATCTCATCACAGCATGCAAACGTCCCGTCCTGTACTTCCGCTTCACGCTTCTCTCACCGGCCCCCGCGTCTTTTGTTGGCGCTATGGCCTCGGCTCTCACCCGAGGGGGGAGGCCGTGCGCCCTCTGCAAATACGTTACCAGCGTGGTCTCTACCCTTCACAACACCTCACCCAAGTACTCGCTTCTAATTCCCAATGTAAGAGCGCCACCCTGTGTCTGATCAGCCCTTCTCCCACCGCCCGGCGGGGCACTCCGAGGCAGGGCGACACAGACCCCCGTCCAGCGCGCCGCCCCCCGACAGCCCCCGCCGCCCGGCACGTACCCGCCCCCGCGTCCTTCAGGAGCACCCGCAGCTCTCTATCTGCCGGTGGAGCTCCACGATCCTCCGGCCCATCAGCGCGGCCTCGGCGGCCTTCCTCTCCGCCTTCTCGCACAGCTTCAGCACCCGCTCCTCCGCCTCGCCGCCCGCGCGGCGGCCGGGACCCAGGACGCCCTCGGCTGAGGCGTCCACCTCGCTCTGAAGCTCGTCCAGCAGGCTCGCGACCTCCAGCAGCTTCCGGCGGGCCCGCAGGTGCGCGCGCACGTGCTCGCGCTCGAGGGCGGCGACGTCCCGGCGGGCGGTGGCGCGCGTGGGGTGCAGGGGGCGGCCGCAAGGCTGCTCGGGCCCTCGCCGCTCGTCCGCGTCCGCGGGCCGCATCGCGCCGCCCCCGCCCCTGCGGCCCGGTCACCGCCGCCGAGAGGCCGGCCGGCTGACAGCGAGCTCGCCGTGATGAGCAACAGGTTCTGCCAGCTCTTCGCAGCAGAGACGGCGTCCAAAATGGGGCCCCAGCCGTCTGCCAGAGCTGTGCTCCCGTGCGGCCCTTTTACGACACGCCGGAGCTCCTTTGCGGCCGCGCAGCCCAGGCGCCGCGGCCGGCCGCCGTCTGTACGTGCGGGGCTCCTGGAGGCTGGATGTCGTCCTCCCTGCGCCCGGTTGCTGCGCGTCCTGCTCCCGGGATGGCGCTTACTGCCGAGTGCTCTAGCTTCTTAACGTTCTGAGTCCTAAGTAACCGGCTCGGGTTGGCACTGCTGGAATCCTTCAGTGCAGCGAGACTCGAGGTGGCGAGCTCGGCGTCGGAGTTTCGGGGCGCGCCATGGAGGCTGCCCCAACCACCGCTCGCTCTGGACTCCCGGGCGGTGGCTCTCCCCAGCCCTGCCCGGAGCGGCGGTGTGCCCCTGCGGATGCTAACCGCCCTGTTCTCCTTGCCGCCCCGCCCAGCGTCCGCCCCGACTTCTTCCTTCTGCCTTTTGCGTTTTGGTTCCGAGTCTGCGCCTCGCTGTACCGGACGGTGGTGGAGGTCTGGGCCCGCATTGGTGCCTCAGACCCGCCTGGCGCCAGGTGTGCCCTTGGGCAATAATTATAGAGGAATTCATTCTCCATCCGGCCATGTAAGCCCTTCCTTAGACAACAGGCTCTGCAGGCAGGTTCTTGGTTGTTTCCCCACAGTCCTCACCTGCCCTGGCACACAGCAAGAGCTCAATAAATGTTGCTTTAACATTATTTCCCAACATTTTTTTAACTACTTTTTTTTAATTGAAATAGTTGACAATGTTATATTAGTTTCAGGTGTACAACTAGTGATTTATCGACTCCGTACATTATGCTGTGCTTACTACAAGTGTAGCTACTGTCAACATATTTTTATTTTATTTTTTAAAAAAATATTTAAGAGAGAGAATGAGATAGAGCATGAGAGGGGGGAGGGTCAGAGGGAGAAGCAGACTCCCTGCTCAGCAGGGAGCCCGACGCGGAACTCGATCCCGGGACTCCAGGATCATGACCTGAGCCGAAGGCAGTCGCCCAACCAACTGAGCCACCCAGGCGCCCTGTCAGCATATTTTTAAACGAGCCTACTGTATTGTCATTGTGGGATGGATGAGGTAAATTTCTAGGCTTTTTCATTCTGTGTATCTCTAGCAGGTAATATCGGGCAGACCCTACTTGTGGGTTGGCCACAAGTCAGAGCTCCTTTAGGGTACTCTCTATCGTGCAAGTGGTCCCTCCATCTTCAAAGGCAGCAACATCATGTCCAATCCTTTTTATCGTTTAATCTCTGACATCACCATCTGCTCCTTGCCAGAGAAAACTCTACTCAAGGGTTTCTTATGATTAGACTAGGTGTGAAAAATCTCCCTTTTGCAATATAATGTAACATAGTCACAGGAGTAATACCAGGGAGCAAATCTCATGGAGAGCCATATTAAAATTATGCGTAGCACAGGCTCCTAGGAATCCTAAGGGCATGATCTCACAGCAGCCAGATAGGACAAAAGTAGCAGTAATTAAGTCTAGAGAGCTAAACATAAGAATTGCCTGGCTTTTGGTACATGAGTGGAACAGAATAAAATACATAGGAACCCACTAAATTTTTGAGGCAGTCGTATTAGCAAAAATGCTGCCACCCTGGATGAAGAAAGACTGAGACTATCCAAAATGTGTAGAGGCTTCTAGACTCTCAAATTTCTACTAGCAGAAAGCAGGCTCAGTGGCCAAAACAGACATATTTTTCAATGCCATCTTCAGAAGTGGCCAAAGAATGTGATGGAAAAGGAAGAACGTGGAGAGAACACGCAAGTGTTGTGGAGAACATTGGATAAAGGCAGGGTCAGCAAACTACAGCCCCTGAACTAAGAATGTTTTTCACATATTTAAAGAGTTGTTTAAAAAAAGGAAAACAGAGGAAGAGGCGAAAGAAAAGAAATATGTGACAGAGAGACTGTATGTGGCCCACGAAGCCTAAAAAAGTTGGTTCTCCGGCCCTTTCCAGAAAAAGTGTGCCAACACCTGCCCTAGTGAACCATTTTTAGGTTGCAGGACCAAGGCCTAATCAAGGAATATTCCTTATCCTTCAAGTAGAGAGACCAGACAATATTTGCCTCACAGCACGTCTGCACTGCTGTAATTCAGTTACTGCTGCCGTCCGTCCTCCCTCACAAATGGGCGCTATCCTGTCACGTCACCCGTGTGTTGGCTCTGTGCGGGTGTTACGGACTACATGTTTGTGCTCCCCCCAAATTCATATGTTGAAACCCTAATCCCCAATTAAACGGTATGTGGATTCGGGGCCTTTGGGAGGTAATTAGGTCATGAGGGTGGAGCCCCCACAATAGGATTAGTGCCATTTGAAGAAGAGACAGAGAACTAGCTGGCTCGTTCTCTCTCCACCATGTGAGGATACAGGGGGAGGGCAGCTGTCCACAAGCCAGGAGGAGGGCTCTCCCTAGAAGCCAAATCTGCCAGTACCTTGATCTTGGATTTTCAGCCTCCAGAACTGTGAGAAAGAGTTTGTTGCTTTTAGCCACCCAGTCTATGGTATTTGTGACAGTAGTCAGAACTAAGGTAGAGGGCAAGAACTTGTCTTTTAAAAAGTTCATAGGTCTCTGGGCCATGAAAAACCATATTTAAACCTGATGTGGATCACAAGATCCCAGACTTCTAGCCAAATGCCATGACTAGAGGAAATTTGGGGGATCCTTAGATAAGGAGGAAATGTTACCTGAGTAATTGGGGACAATGGGGACAAACTGTGGTAGATTATATAAATGATCCCAGGTCTCCACCCCTTCCTGCATCCACATCCTTTGCCTTGTGTCTTGCTTTGGTCAATGAAAGGTTAGCAGATGTGACACAAGCACATGCTCGAAGCATGCTAACGCGGCTGGGCCCTCTTTACGCTCGTCTCTGCCTTGCTATGGAGAAGAGCATGCTGGCCTGTCTTACTCGTCTCAGGAGGAAGAGGAGAGAAACACTGGGCCACGCTGTCCTAGACAGGCCCAACTTAGATCAGCTGGTCCACAGACATATTAGTGAGCCAGTCTGGATCATCTTAAGTCCAGCCAAACCACAGACCCTTGAGCAATGTTTGTTGTTGTTACTGGCACTTAGGGTGGCTTATGCAGCAAAAGCTGATTGATCCACTTGTTGTGAGGCCTGTCTAGGTGAGCTTATGGACCCAGATAAATCAAGACACCAAACTCCTCCATACTTTTAACCCTACTCAGTCTCAGTTGGCGGAATCTCACCCAGATGCTAGATGATCTGGGGTTTTTTTTCTTTCTTTCTTTCTTTTTTTAAAGATTTTGTTTGTTTTTTTTGACAGAGACAGAGACAGCGAGAGCAGGAACACGAGCAGGGGGAGTGGGAGAGGGAGAAGCAGGCTTCCCGCCGAGCAGGG